AAAGACAATGAACACAGTTCTGCAAAAAATGACAGTATACATTTTTAGAACTTAGAGTACCTTGGTGACTACATAATCGTTTTGTATTACCTATTTTTGTTAGCTATTTCACACAATTCAGAAAAACAAAAATGTGCATGAACTATAGGCCTGTATTTATTATATTATGAATGAAATGTGCGTTATTTGGAAGAAAGTCAAGGTGTGACTGACTTACAGTGGATCCCCCGTTCCCCCCCTTGTCCGTTCCATTAGGGAGACCCAGAGGTGAACTGTCCCCCTCCCCTTCCCCTTCACACACTTCACACAGCTTCTCTGCACAGCACCTTCTTAGCAAGCAGGAGCGCTTGCAGCTGTAGGGGGCGCCAATTTGCCAATTCCACAGTGATATGATAGAACAGATAGATAATAGAAAACCGCTTCGTGGCGCAGAGGATTTTTTTTCATGTGTCATGAAAAAATGCCGCCCTGGGCGGCTGCCCGCTTCGCCCATGCCCAAAACCGCTACTGCCCTTGGGACCATGAATATCTCTAATAAATTTTAGACCAATCAACCAACACTGCCGAGCCAGAGCTAGCACTGCTAATAAGCACCTATAGCTGATTGTTTTACTAAAACTGTACTATACTATATTTATTCTGTATATATGTAACACCACCTGTCAAACTCAGGCTTTGTGAGTTCTGGACCTAAGTGGTCCACATGCATAATCCATCAGATAAAGCACAAATGCTTGTTTCTGCTGTGAAAACTAACACTCATAGTATTTGGTATGCACACCACAGGCTTCTTCTGTATTGGACTGCATCCTTCATTTCATACAAAGTCAACAAAGAAAATCCACACACACAAAGAGACACTACTATGTCTGCACTTACTCATAAAAACACAACTGATCATATACACACACATAACAATCTCTGGCCATCATTTAACAGCAGACTTTGAAAAACACTCTCCTTTTCTCCAGACACGGAAGGAAGCCATAAGTCACTTTTATTACGTGTTGTGTTAAGTTGTTGTGGCAGTGGGGGCTCCAAACCCCAAGAGAATTTTTTGAAAACAGCAAGCAACAGAGTCAATGCAGGGTGACAGCACTTCAACAGGGCCTACCAGTATTATGTTCAAAATATGTTTAGTTTCTGTTTGAATAACTACAATATGTCCGACCTTCTAAACTTGTGGTCCAATCTGTCCATTCAGTAGAAGCTGAAAGTTGAAGCAAACACTCTTTCATGTAAGGAACAAATGGAAAACTATTAATTGTCTGTGCTGAGTATATAGACAGAGCCTATATAATGGCTAAATGCCATTCACAATAAAATCATAATTATCCACACCTTTTGAAAATAACTAACAAAACGAATGCAAGGCTGTTCTCTGTTCTCTGTCTACATGCTACATTATATACAGAGACATCACTGGTGAGTCTTTATGCAGGTGACACTAAGTTGTACTTTCCCTTGTGTTGTGACAATCTCTACCAACAATTATATACAATTAAGTGCATACGTGTGTGATTAAAATAAATTACATTTCCAAATGCCTACTGTCTTCTGTGGTGCCTATTGGTCCTCCCATAATTTATGTCCTGTTTGCACAGAGAGTGTGGAAGTGTCTGAGTTTTGAGAACAAAGAGCTGTTTCCTGTTATTTTATAAAACAGTTTAGTATGCTGTGTGTGTGTTTTAGCATAGGTTTTAGCCTACTGGGGAAATGATTTGTTGTTAGGTTTATGGAATTTAATTCGTCGTCGGTCCTCTGACAGACTTTTCAGACCCACCCTACTGAAGACTGGCAGCCAATAAAAATGACAAATTGTGACCGTGACAGAAGTAGAACAAACTTTTGCTAACCTAATAGACGCTGACTTGTTAACACGAACCTCATCAACAATTATTGTTGGCTGTTGTAATGTTAGCTTCAGGTAGACATTAGGTGATCTGTCTTCTGATAGCTGATTTTATACTAAATGCATTTGGCATGTTGACAAAAGGCGAAGTCAGATCTGTTTGATATAGTTGTTCACCATTCAGCAAGAATTTGACACGCTGACACAAATAAAAACAGCGAGAGGAAAATCCTTAGACAGAGCTCAACGAACTGAATCCCTCAGAGGAATCACACTGATCAATAATGACGTCCAGTTGTACTCACTCCAGCCGAAGAAGGGGGGCAGGCTCCAGCCCATGGAGTAGACCCAGGCCGCAGCCACAATGCTCAGGGCTTTCCTACGAGACATTACCCCCAGGGAGGCCAGAGGCCTGGTGATCACCACGTACCGGTCCACTGCAATAACCATTAGCGTCATCATGCTGCAGATACCAAACAGTGCTCCGCAGAAGGCATACAACTCACAACCTGGAGGAGGAGAGGGGAGAAGGAATGAAAAATATGTTTGCTATCAGGATAAAGGCATTTTATGGCAGTAGATTCTGCAGCTCTTGAACAACAGCTGGAAATACTGTAGCTGACTGTGTTTCTCAACTTGTAACTCAGTTTTATTGACAGTTTTAGAAAGTAATTTCTGTGCGGTTTTGTCAAGTAATTATCACACTGCCATATCAGATTTAAGGTATTATTTGCTAATATCATATTAGCTAGAGAACATCTGTTACACACATGCTCCATAATTCCTTGTAAGTAGATTGTAATGGCGAGTAGTTACATGAAAACATTGGCTACAACCAACATTTTCATAATAACAAAATCAAATCACAATGTGAAAACAATGAGATAATGTGACAGGGGTCGCTTGTAAAGATTAACCTAAAGAGAATTATCACCCAAATCTGCAGCTCATTGATTGTTTGTCCAACCCACAAGTTTACTGTTTTGGTTTACTCTCAATGCTCTCATTGGGATTGATTTCAGTAGCAGCAGGCAGCTTTTTTCAGCGAAAAGGCTCGAAAGCAATACACCCTTTGCCCAATCAGCCGACAGACACAGTTAGTGACTGGCTAGTGAACTATGGCATTTAATTAGACTCAAAACTCGGACACACGAAAAGCAGGCACGTGCATGTGATACAAACACACAGAGAAATCTGCAAGCAGAAAGCAGAAATGCTCCCTCGTGAGCATAGTGTTTCCCTTGCTGATGCTGTTCTGTGTGCTCATATCACACACATGCGCCTAAACACAGTGGACCATTTAGCAGCTAAAGAGCCAGATATTTCCTTCAGGAGTTGGTAGAGACCAAAAAATATTGGACACCAAAAGGCCAGAAACATGACTCCAAATGAACAATAATGTTGCACTGTAACTGCTGGATGTGTAAGCAACTGTTTGACAAATCAACTTAAAAGGTGACGATATGTCAGTGTGATTCACAACTTGTTTCCTTTGCCCCTAAGTGACCAAAAACAAAACAGTTTTTGCAGGTTTAAAATTACTTTCTTTGTCAAATTGGACTAATGCTCCCCTCAAGCTACAGTTTCATGTAATATGAAAAGAGCTGGAAGGCTGAAAAAAAAAAAAATAATAAATGTCAATACTGACACGTAATAGAGGGAAAGCAATGCTGATGGTCTGACTTTTTTAACTGATGACTGAAGTCCTGTGCTGACTTTATTTTGAATGTTAATATGCTAAACATTAACACAACATTCTATATGTGAGCTATAGGCTTAATTGTTTTTTAGCTACAAAAAGTATTAAGTCTGATGTATTACAGCTTTCAGAAAAATGATACCCAGTTGTCATCCCTTCGATGTTGACACTATCAAACTCAACATGCACTTACACCCATGATGTTAACCCGTTAGTAGCGATGAGGGAGTTACAAAGAAATAAAGGTGATTAATCTTTCATCCTGTTTTGTTTTGTGGTGTGACTTTCTGACATCAGTCTTTTCCTGGTAAACTTCTTGCATACCAACTTACTATTTAAACATTCCATTGACCACTGAGAGATCAGCCAGGCTTGTTTTAAAAGCTCTTTCGGTATCTCCAAATTGTATTTCTTTTCACTATTAATGTTACGGTTGATAACAACATCAGTTTCAGTTGCTTGCTTTGGCAACAAGTAATGTCGTATTGTGTTACAACAAAGCCATCTGGATTGAATACAGCAGGAAAGAAGAGAGACAGAATAAGAGAGAAAAAATGACGGAAGGATCAATCAATCAATAAAATAAAAAAAATTTAAAAAATTTAAAAAAATTAAATGCAGAATTACTGTGAAGCATGGTACCCAATACAACTTTACAATTAAGAGAATACAAAGGACAAAACATACAGCAAGCAGACAACATAATAAAAATCCAAATAAAACAATCAGTGTTAAAGGGATGTTTGAAAAGTTGATGGTGAATAAAAGTAGGTTTTCAGTCTTGATTTGAAGATTTTAACTGAATCTGCTTGGAAAGGTCACTCCAGGGATAATGTACACAGTAGACAAATCCTCTGATGCCGGATGTTTTTTTGGTGACTGAAGGAATTAGCTCAGATATGTAAGGTGGTGCAAGTCCATGCAAGGCCTTATAAGTTAAAAGAAGAATCTTAAAATCAGCTCTATCTTGCACTGGTAACCAGTGAAGAGGTGTTTTATGATAAAAATTTGTAGTTTTTTGTGAAGATTGTAGCTGCAGTATTCTGAACAAGCTGAAGGAACATCAGGAAAAAGGACCTTACAATCAACACATCTGGAAGATACAAATATATGGATTACAGTTTGGGCATCGTGCAGTGATAACTTTAAGCTTTTTGATGGTTGAGCTTTCAGAAATAATACAACCATCAATGTTAACATTCAGATTATCATACAACTGGTCATATTTGGCTGGTTTACCAAAAAAAAAAAAAGCTCTTAGCCATCTATTTCTTCAATTTCTGATAGACATATTTCTAAATGTGGTAATTTGCAAAGGTTATGTATGGAAGTCAGAAAAGAGGTGAGTAGAGGCCAGAAGAGTTTGTGGGAGAGGAAGAGAAGGTGAGGAAGCAGCAAAATACTGAACCCAACGTCGTCGACTGAATGTATTAGTTTCTGTTTCTGATGAGCAGTTGGCACCTTGAATCAGTTTGTGAATGGGTGAGTGTGACATGTAGTGCAAAGCACACTGAGTTGGAAGAAATGTGCTGTATAAGTGCAGTCCATTAACGAGTAGCAGTGTGATAAAAAATGCATGGGCGATATGCTGGGAAACAGGGAAGGATTGAGAAAGTGTGGCATGTACAAACAGCATACAATATTAGTATTTAAATATGTGAATATTAAATAAAGTGCTTAAATATTTAATACATATCAAACTTATTGTATATATAATAGGTTTTGTTGTTTATTTATTATTATGTTATTATTGTGACACAGTGTTTATGGCTTTTAACATGTCACTTTATGTTCCAAGATGCTGTTTTCTGTGGAGTATCATTATGCTAAATGTATCCATAATGTATGAAGAAATCTGATGCACACAATCATGCACACTCGCAGATGCACAACCCTGCACACTGACAAATACAAACACTCAATCATCACTTTATCAGCTGCTGTCCCTTTAAGCGGTAAGTGTGCGATTACCACCGACCTGTCAAAAATCATGACGTCACAGCACCAAGTTGTCATATCCAAACATAAGACAAAATCTGAAGTGTGTCGCCTGTGTGAAGGAACAAATAACGCTTAGGAGATTTAATATAAACCACAACGGCTGTATGTTCGTCGTCCTGACCGTCTGTGTGTGTTTGACAGCCCTTGTTAACTTACTGAAGCTAATGAAGTCCAGATTGGCTCCCAAAGAACAGCAGATGTTCTCCAGAGAGGATCAATAATAACAAAGTCCTGGGGCATTTTGTGTGAAAGGCAAGGTTCACTGCATTCAAAGTCAACATACCAAGTACACAAATTAAAAAGTCCTAAAATGAGCTTGTAAGAGCAAATCTTTAGGATTTAGGATTAATCAATGAGTGTGTTTCATTTTCAATTTGCACGTAACAAACTGAGTAGAAGAGAAATTTAATTTTAAAAAACGTTTTTACGCCTGGCTGAGGTGGAAAAGTTAATGTATAGATAAAAAACAAAATGGAAAGGAAACAGCGATGAAGAGCGTCACTATCACTTGTGAGCAATGAAATCAAAACTCTGAAACCCCTCAAAATTATACCATGCTCACACTTCATCACTGGGACACTCAGCAGACAACTGTACAATAAACAGTTGTTAAAGAAGACAGAATCCATCATGTTAGACAGCACCCAACACCAGTACTTAGAATTTAAATTACTGTTCTCTGGTTCCCACCTCTGACAACCACAAGCCACAGCTAACATATAAATTCTCTTTCATACCCTCCACTGCTCAACACTTCTCCAACCGTGCACTAATGTGTACTTGACCTTTTACTCATCATGTGTTTTCTATGATGTGTGGTTATATACGCATGGGCTTTTTTTTATTTGTATGTTTCACTCTGTGTTGTTATTTTTATTGCTACTGTGGCAGAATCAAGTGCCCCTCAGGGACAAATAAAGGTCTTCAGCTTGAATATTCAGTTTCACTCTGAAATACGTCACATTATAAAAGCTAAGGTTGCTCTAACTGCCATTTCATGTAGACTTTAAGTGAGAAAAGCACAAACAAATTCTTTTGATGGCTTTACTCATTAAATTCATTGGGAATAACTACATATCTACCTATAGTGTATTCATATCTAGCTGTCTGTATATAATGTCAACCCTGCACTATATAGTTTACTATTAATCTATTCATACTATAGATATCTTAACTTTTTTAAGCTGTATATATCTTAGTGTATTCACTTCACAAATTATATATATGCATATATACGTATATATCTATAATGTTATTTTTTATATCCCTGTACATATGCACATTACTCTGCAGTTTACTGCTATTTGCACTTCTGGTTTGATGCTTAACTGCGTTTCGTTGTCTTAGTACTTGTACTTTGTGCAATGACAATAAAGTTGAATCTAATCTAATCTAATACCTCCAATTTTTTATTCAATAATTGTAAAGATTGTTCCCTGTAGAACAAAGTTTGACTGACATATTATCTAACTTACCTACAAACATTGCGGTCCCTAGAGATACAGTGCTATTAATAAACCGCATCATCAGAGTTTACTGCGAATTTCTATGAATTCTAATTAAAACAGGTTGAAAAAACGCCAGGAAACATTAGCAGAAGTGTTTCTAGCTATTCATGCTTGACCTCTACACCTCATTGTCTGTCAAAGGACTGGACAAAAAGAAATGTCTTCTAAGTGGAAGTTAGAAAAAAGAAAACCACCAGCTCTTGCAATCCTCTTGCAGTAATCACCACTAAGGGCTAACCTCCAGATGATTGGCTGTCTTCATCAAGGTCAGGACAACTCCTGAAGGAAAACATAGCGCTCTGACTATCGGTGTTTGATCAGTGGAGTGTGGAGCGTCTTTTACCATCGCTCTATCTCTGTTCCCAGTAGGTTGCACGCTGATGTATAATACACACTATAGTATAACCCCCTCCAAAATGCGCTCATGTAAAACACACGACTGACATGCATTCTTGTTGTGATCGATGGGATACTGCAGATTGGTGCATCTTTTTACACCGTAGCAGGAAAGGGTGATAGACGATGGCAGGTTTGTGCGTGTGCATGCGTGTGTGTGTGTGTGTGTGTGTACAGAATTTTAATTGAACTGTAGGTCACTTTCAAAAGGGTAGGGAGACCAGTGTGTGTGCATAATGATTTGAATGTGTGCATGTACATGCAAAAGAGTGTATGTAATATCATTAGCCTGTGTTTAGGTTGTTGTATAAGGAACTCTGTGCAGCATTTTTAAATATAATTTAAAAAGAAATTAAAATATAAATATTATAAAAGTGTAAAATGTTAAACCTTCATGCCAGTTTGTGTGCACGTTACCTTTCTTTCCAAAGATCCATCGCTTGTGCATGCTGTTGATGAAGAAGGTGGGGGTCTGAGTAAAGCACATGAGGAAGTCCGTGACAGCCAGGTTAATGATGAAAATATTGGATGGTGTCTGCAAGCTCCGACTCCTGCACACACACACACACACATCACGCACACCACACACACACACATCAACACACACACAGACAGACACAGCTGTTAAAATATTGTAATTAATCTTATTATAGACTTAGACCTGGACTATGAATAAATCAGTCATTTCATTATCACATATATTAACACAGACACATGCAAAAAAGTGAACTGAACAAGTTTATTGAAGGAAGCTAATTAAAAACCTGAAGCCTAAATTGAAAAAAAGTACCTGCAGAAAGCATATATAACCAGGAAGTTTCCCAGCATGCCTGTGATGCCAACGGCCAGGATGACAACGCCGATGGTGTAGTGAGCGTGGTCTGGGACGTCTACCGTTGGAAATGGGTAACTTGGAATCATGGAACCCTATAGCAACAGGAAAATGGGAAGGAATTGGTTAATATGTGGTATTAGAGTCATTGTATTATATCAGGACAGCGATGTCATTCAAAAACTGATGTCACTGCAGGTCTCATGCTCATGTACTGAAAGTGTAACAAGCCTTGGAAAGTACAAAGGATGATTTTGCCCAGAATTGAAATGAAAGGGAAATTTAAAAAAAGATTTGCAAATAAATTATTTTTATCTTATTACTCATCTGGCCACACCTCCTCATTTACATACAGCTTGAAAAGCCAAATTGGAAATGTTTGAAAAGCGTATTGCTGCCATAATGGCAAAAAAATTTTCTTCTTACTACAAGAAACTTTCCTCATTATAACACGTTAGAACAAGATATTCATTGTGCTATTATGACATTTTATAGTGATTACTGAATGCCAAATTATTCTGATTTGCAAGAAATAAACATCTATTATATCACAAAACTAAAACATCAGTTCACAGTCTCATTAAAAATAAAATTTGTTATAAAATGACGACATTAACAAACTTCCATATGTTGAACATTGAGAGATTGTAACCTACACCGGCTAGAAAAAACTATGATGTCTTTTTTAAATATGGTTTGATTTATTGTTGCCTTGAACTGTACTGGACCACAATGATTCAAGATGTGGCTTGGTTTGGTGGGTACACATTCAAATGTGGTACCTAATTGTGTCAGCAACTACAAATCCCTGGAGTGAGAGGAAATCCACTTAGTCTGGAACCCACTCTATACACCACAAATACATTCCATTAAAATATTGATTTAATAGGATATTTAGTGGTATAATTAGGGTAAATAATAAGGTTTAAAACATTATTAGGGGACTTCAAGCAACCTACAATTTAAGTACCCACTCTGAATAGTTCATCATGAGCTCAGAGAAGATGAAAGCATCTATCTGTGCTTTATGCTCCAGTAACTATTTCCCAGACTGAAGACACTGACTTCTATCGACCTCTGTCACCAACAAAGAAACTCTCCAATGCCTCTGGCACAGCTTACATTAGCGTACTGCCAATTATGGTAACTGTAATTGACAGGGTTTGAAAAGTCACAATTACAAAATATAATGATATGAAATGGCTAATCATGAGTAGAGTTAAACCATACAGCAGTGGAGGAATATATTTTTGAACCCTTTAATGCTATATTCACTGAGCATCAACTGTAAAAGATTACATTTATACAACAGTAGATTGTAGTTCTCTCAGATTGTTGAATACTGGTGCATGTGTAAGCAAATATTGTAGCTTGTCCAGTGGTGCTAAGGCTAATTTATTTTTTTGACTATGAAATTACATACAAAGTCAATACAAAGACGCTGTTTATTCATCCTTGACCTCTACAACACCTCTTTGAACATGATTGGCACAAGGACAAAAAAAAGTTTTCTAAGTGGTTTGGGGGTTGGTGGTGGTTAGAAAAAAAAAAGCAAGAGCTGGGTGACCTTAAAATATTCAACTTTGAGTGAAAAATTTGTGTGTATGTCGGGCCTTTTTTGCACAGTTGTGAGAGGAGGACCGGACAGACAGAGCTGCTGCTCACCGACAGCTGTTTGAGCCCAGGGAGCTCTGCAGAAAGAGCTGGGGGCACAGCGGGAGTTTCTGGAGGAATAGACAACTGTAGTCACACCGGATTCTGCACTGAGCTCAGAGTATATTTTTTAAACATTTAGGATTAAAAGTGGATTTATCTTGACTCTCACTTCTGAGCGTGTCTTCTGCGAGCCAAGGAGGTGCCACCCGCACTTGTAGCCATCTGTGTGCACTCAGAGCTCTATTATAGTACTTTACATTTAGTTGTTTAGAAGTTGGACTACCTGGCAAGTGCTAAAAATACGTGTCTGTTACTTGATTCCAACTAAAATTTTTACTCTACTAAACAAGCATTTTAAAGGTTGTTTGCTTCTCGTCCTGACAGATGCAATGTATTTAATTGGCATTATCTTTTGGGCTTACTGCAGTAATAAGCCAGAAAGAAATTTGGATCACATTTGGTGTGAACATTCACATTCGGATTTAAAAATCATCTGTACTGTAAACTGCAAGCTGAATCTTTATCTGTAAAGTAATTGGTGCAGCAATCACAAAAGTTTAGATTAGTAAAACAATATTTCTGTTGAAATTGTGCTGTAAAAGTACAAATTAACTCAAAATGGAAATACTTGGAAGTGACAGCACATCAGAGTTGTTTTTAAAGATAAACTGGAGATTCACGTTCTGTTGTTGATTTCCTTAATTTTGCTGATCGACAACTGGTGACGGTGATGTGCAGTGTAGCAATGTGCTTGCAAAGGCAACACAGAGGACTGCAAGCTCGTAAACATGGATGTAAACAATGCACTATTAAATATTCTCTTTGCAAATGTTTTATGTGGAAGGAAATGCATTCAAAATGTCAGTGTCCATGTTTCTACGGTAGCCAAGAATGGACAAACCAAACTCCAAACAGGACCTTTGCAGTTAGCTGTAATCTGCAACTAAACTACTAGGTGCCACTAAATCTTACACACTGGTCCTTTAAAACCAAAAAACCAACCAATACCACATAGTATAAATTCTATGTTTGCTATAATGAAAAATCATGGATTCAAAAGTATTAGCATCAAAATATTTCAGAATAATATTCATCATATTATTATTAATGCAATAATTTAATTTAAAAACACCTGTAACTCACTAAAAGCTGACTTTCAGTGTCAATGAAAGGTTTTGAATTCAGAGCAGCATTTTGCCTCTGAGAAGCTGCTGCACTTCAGAGCACACAGTTCTAGTTGAGAATTCATTTCAGAGATCGTGAGACACTCCACTGCTTTTACACTTTGCT